GAGAGTCATCCATTATAAGTTTGGTACTTGCGTGGCCTGTTCTACGACTCCAGGAGACGCCGGTGCCATTCATTTGACACTGCATGCGTAAAAGGACCGCCGCCACTCGGCGACACCTCCGCTTGCCACTTTGTTCCAAGCAGATGAATCCGACATGTGTCCAGCAACGGTCTATGCACCTTGGTTCACCGCTATCACCGCCCTACAAAAGACGATCGACTGCAGTGCATCTCTGGGGCGTGGAACCGGCAGTGCAATGGCAGTGCCGCTACCGCATGTTCTGCTTCTTGTGCAGGTTAGTTAATGTTCCCTTTGTAAACAATTTGCTCTTGTTAGCCTGCCGGTTCCACCCCATATGTTGTACAACTGTGTGCGCATGCACTCCGATGCTAGAAGCCGCTCAAAGCGTCGGATTTTGTTGCTGCATCGTTTTTGCTTTTATTTTTTTGTTATTAATTCTCTGTGGGGATATCGAAATGAATCCTGGCCCTGTCGTTGATGCGACGCTACAGAAAATTTTGGATGGGCAAAACGCGATTGTTCGAAAGCTTAATACCATTGAAGCGAACCAAGCAGAACATAAGGATACTATAAATGACTTGAGTGAACGAGTGTCGTCAATGGAAGGAAAAATGTCAGTGTTGTCAAAATTAGAAGCTGCTACCACTGAGTGTACAGCACGCTGCGATCCCCAACACGGGGTGATACAGTTGCTTCAAAAGAAGATTGACGATCTTGAAAATCGTAGTACACAGCATAACTTGGTATTCTACGGCATACCTGATACAAGTGTCTGCGAATCATGGTCACAATCTGAATTGCTTGTGAAAGAAGTATGCTCGACAAAATTACAAGTTAACCCGAACGATAGAAAAAGCACATCGGCTCGAGAAATTTAGAGAGGGAAAAACGTGGCCCGTGATCCCAATGTTCGGGTCAGTGAAAGAAAAGCACCCTGATTTTAGGAAAGGCCAAGAATTCGAAAGGTACAGGTATCGGGTATGTCGGAAGATTTCTCTGAGCCAGAGCGAAAGAGAAGGCAAATTTTGTGGCAATTTGCTAATAAAAATAGAAGCAGGGACGCAAGAGTACAACTAAAACACGACACCCTTCACATAGACGTCATCAGGTACACTTACGATAATACCTCAGTCAAGGTTGTGCAGTGCAAGTGACCGAATAAGTTCTTATGCTCCTCACTTTCTTTTCTGTTGGTAAACTGTAGGAGCATTAAAACGTAGTTGACATATTTGATAACTTAGTGCGCATGATAAAACTAAGTGTAGTTTTTGTACTGAATCATGGATGAATGAAGACGTGGCAAACATCGAGGTATTTCCAGATAACTTTACTTGTTACAGGAAAGACAGGAACTATCATGGAGGTGCTGTATTTATCTTGGTAGATCAGCGCATTCGTCTGTAGGCATAAGCACTACAGACGATGTGAGTGAAGCTGTTTGGTGTCAGCTTAAGCTCTCGAATGGCAAATCACTATCAGTCTGCTCTTTTTATTAACCGCCAACTGGTTCAACTAAGGAATTTAGTGAATTCACTGCTACAGCTACAAAAATCACCTCTGATTACATCGTTATAGGTGGGGATTTTAACCTTCCTGATATTGACTGGAATGAGCAACCAATAGCTCCAGGAAGTTCTCTTAGTTTTAAATCTGAAATGGCTGATTCCATGAACCTCTTGTCTTTAAAACAGACAGTGTTGAAACCAACTCGAGGAGGTCATATCCTTGATCTATTTTTCACAAATATGCCAGAAATGGTAGAAAACACTGAAGTATTACTAGGGATAAGTGACCACGAAGTTGTGCTAAGTGAGATAAATATGAAACATACGAGTGCTTACACTGAAAGGAGTCGGTGCACGTACAATTACGCGAAGGCTAATGTCCAAGGAATCAACACTGCATTGGAAGCATATTTCATTGTTTTCGAAACACTTGCCAATGAGTACTGAGTAGAAGAGCTGTGAAATTTGCTTAAAGGCAAGATCCTAGAGCTGAGAAACCAATTTGTTCCGTCAAGGGTGCTGACCAGGATGCATAATAAATGTAAACCATGGTTCCCTAGAGAACTGGACGTTTTGGTCAAGCGTGGGCAGGGAATTTACCTGTTCATTTAAAAGAAATCCCTCGGAAGAAAACTCTTCCATAATGAAGCTGGCAACGTGTGAAGTAAATAATGCTACAGTCGAAATGAAAGCAGCCTACTTAAACACAATTGAACGTAGAATAACGCGCAACCCGAAAGAACTCTAGAGGTATATCAAATGAAACAAGAAATACAACATTTCGATTCCCGCTCTGACCAGCGGTGATATTACCGTGAGCGATGTGACAGAAAAGGCCGAGTTGTTCAATTTATATTTCACATCAGTGTTCTCAGCCGCTACTGACCCCCAAAAAGACTTGAAAATGTTGACACATGAATCCACATCCATGCCTGATGTAATACTTGAAGCTCGAGGCATTGAATTACAACTTAGAGATCTAGATTGTGCAAAAGCAGTGGGTCCTGATGGCTTACCTAATTTTATGTTGAAGTCTTCTTCCCATGCAGTGTCTATGTACTTGAAAATTATTTTTGAAAAAACGTTAAAACAGAGTTCTCTTCAACCTGATTGGAAAATGGCGTCCGTTGTTTCTATACATAAATCTGGCCCGCGCAATGCTGTGAGTAATTACCGCCCTATCTCACTCACTTCTGTGTGTAGTAAAATTCTTGAACATATTTTATATAGTGCAATTGTAAAACACATAGATAGTAATTCCTTATTGAACTCTAACCAGCATGGATTTATGTAGGGGCTATCATGCGTCACACAACTGGTAGAGTTCACCCATGATTTAGCAGCAGCACTGGACGACAAATTTTTGGTCGACTGCATTTTTCTCGACATTCAAAAAGCATATGACACTGTTTGGCACTACTTATTGCTGCAAAAGCTAACCGGTTTTAATATTAATCCCTAATTTATAGCATGGATTGCTGAATATCTACATGAGAGGCGACAATACGTAGTTGTAAACGGCAAACAGTCTGATATAACTAATGTTACGTCAGGGGTACCTCAGGGGTCAGTTCTGGGACCATTACTTTTTTTATTATATATAAATGACATTAAAGAAAACGTACAATCCCATATTAGGCTATTTGCAGACGACTGCATTTTATACCGTCAGATTACCTCTGAAACTGACTGCTCTGTAATCCAAAAATGACCTATGTGAAATATACGCGTGGTGCCAGCGATGGGAAATGAAACTCAATCTTAAAAAAAACTGTATGCACGAGGTTTTCCAGAGAAAAGAACACAGGTGAACTTGAATACACAATAAACGGCTCTCCGATAAAAATGGTGCGCGAATACAAATACCTAGGTGTTTTCTTTTGCCCCTCTCTATCATAGAATCGGCATGTGGATTACACTGTAAATAAAGCTTGTCGAAGCTTAGGATTCTTAAAAAGAAACACACGGGAGGTACTATACAAGGCATACGTGAGATCACTACTGGAGTACGCATGTTGTGTGTGGGACCGTGCAACATCTTCAAATAAAGAAAGATTAGAAAGTGTTCAGTCCATGGCGGCGAGATATGTGTTTAATGCACCTATGTATGACAGACAAATTCAGTGTGGCGAAGGCTAAGCTCAAGTTAAAATGGAAATCTCTGCAGCACTGAAGGGCATCATTTTGACTGAAGCTATTGCATAGCATATTTTATTCTCATACTCGAATTGCCCGTGATGTATACATAAGCCGGCCTCAGTACATTTCAGCCCAAAATGATCATGAAGACAAGATAAGAGAGTACAAATGCAATACATCATCTTTCAGCAACTCTTTTTTTCGAGAACTGTAAGTCAGTGGAATTCGACTTTTTTCCACAGCTGTAGAAATTTCTTCAACGGATGGGTTCGTTTCTGCAATAGAAATGACTGAATCTTTCAACCGCTAAGCCCTATAGACTACATGTGTGTGCCTGGCAGTCGCTGTGATGTGTACGGTATCTTGATTTCAAACTGTGTTGTTTTGGGGTTAATTTGCCCTTGGGCTAGCCGAATGCTGCACTTTGTTTTGATTATCATGAAATTTTCATCAATTTTTGTGGTTTCTGCATTTTTTTCCCTCTAATACATATTAATTTTCTAACGCAGCGGTGCTCGGTGCAGCTGTGTATGTTTTGTGTCTTGCAAATGTATTTCTTCTTTCTTTTTCTTGTTTTTACACAAACTTGTCTAAACTTGCAAATTTTCATGTTCTTTCCTTGTACCCCCACTATAATGCCTGTATGGGCGTTGTGGATATTAAATAAATAAATAATAAATAAATAGATCAGGTTCTTCGTTTGCTTCGAGTAATGCAGCTTTAATATGAATGCGTTTGGGCGGGAAGACAAAATACAGGCAGAGACAACGCCCTGAGGTTCCATTTCCAGTTCGCATGTGACGTCACAAATTTTGATGCTGTCTGCAGGGGCCTACATAATTGTTTATCGGTAAACACCAATCACATCGTGCTTGTAATGTACCCAAAGTCCTAACATAGCACATTAAGGGCCCACATAGTAGTTTATCAGTGAACACCGTTTACATTGTGTTGTCACGCACCCAAAGTTTTACCATAGCAAGTTTGAGAGAATTTCATTGAACCAATGTGGGCAAAATACTTAGGAATACTTTAAAATTCGTAATGCCACTCTGACATTATACAATTAGCTTCAGGTGTGAAATTCAAAAATAGAACTTTGACACAGCTCTCTTTTTCCTTTCTAGAATAATTATTATGTGATGGCAAAATTATAGACATTAAAGTTCTGAAAGAAGGAATTCATCCACCTAAACTTGTTTTTTGTTTCGCTATAGTGTCCCCTCAATCTCCAGTAGCGATTAGCCTCGGGTGTCTAAATGAAGTGACACGCGGTTGTTCATTTTTCGGAAAACAGTATGACAGTATGTGCAGTGCTACTTAATTCTACCTCACCTTGTAAGAAGAGGCCGACTTGACGCTGACGCCACGTCCCTTGCTGCCCAGGGTGCAGCGTAGGCGCATCAGGAAATGACAAGGCTGAGGAGATGGGTCATGTAGGTCTTCAGGTTTGGGCAGCAGCGCAGCCTTGAGTTCATCATGGTCGCAGGGGTGACAGTACTCGTATACGCTTTGACCCATCAAGTCCACCTGCAGCAGTGTTGGAAACGAAGGAGTAAGACGTTCGTACAGGCACCATAGTTAATACCCTTGCTTCATGGACAGGCTGAATTAGGTGGTTAACTAGCCTTACCTAGTAAGCAAGTTAAAGGGGCACTAAAGGCAATTTGTGTCCAAGTTAGAGGTCAATGCTTGGGGATGTCTAAAACGCCAATCAAGAAATCAATGTAAGTGTAGGACACTAATTCCGTCACCAGTGGGACATTCTGGAAGTGAAACCCGATAGCATGCACAGACCTCATAATCATCGTCAGCCTGACTACGTCCATTGCCGAGCAAAGGCCTCTCTTATGCTCTACCAATCAACCCAGTCCTGTGCTTTCTGCTGCCACGTTATGTACCTTCAAGCTTCTTAATCTCATCTGCCCACCTGATTTTCTGTCTCCCTCTCACGCATTTGCCTTTTTTTTGGGAATCCAGTCGGCTATCCATAATGATTAACAGTCATCCTGCCTACACGCTACGTGCCCGGGCCATGCACATTTCTTCGTCCCGATATCAACTACGATATCTTTAACCCACGAGTGATTCCCAAATGGTAGGTGTAACCTTAAGAGACAAGAAGAGAGCAGAGTGGATTAGGGAACAAACGGGGGTTAAGGATATCATAGCTGAAATCAAGAAGAAGAAACGGACATGGGCCGGGCATGTAGCGCGTAGACAGGATAACCGTTGGTCGTTAAGGGTAACTAACTGGATTCCCAGAGAAGGCAAGCGGGTTAGGGGGAGACGGAAGGTTAGGTGGGCAGATGAGATTAAGAAGTTTGCGGGTATAAATTTGCAGCAGCAAGCACAGGACTGGGTTAACTGGCGGAACATGGGAATGGCCTTTGTCCTGCAGTGGACGTAGTCAGGCTGCTGATGATGATGATGATGATTCCTGTCTAACTCTCCTCTCTTCCCGCCTCTTAAGGTTACACCTAGCATTTTACTTTCAATCGCTCACTGCATCATCCGCAACTTGAGTTGAAACCTCTTTGTAAACCTCCAGGTTTCTGCTCCATAGATAAGTACCGGTAAGATGCGGCTGTTATATACATTTCTCTTGACCTCAGTATGATCAATCACAAACATTCAAACTGCTCATGACAGGAAAGAACACTGCAGCACATTAAAAGATGGAATAAAATGAAACTAGTGCATTTCAGTCCGAATTGAGCAAAAAAAAAACTTCTAGACATGACCCGGAACGATGCAAGTTTTGATTGCGCTGGGACGGGTGCTTTGGATTGCACTAATGATGTGTGGACCATTAAAAGGCAATTTCTTTTTCTTATACTAAGCATTTCTTTGACATAAAACAGGTAGCTTAAGATTAGCGGAACACTATTTCAACAATTCACATCAACTGTCGTAGTTATGGGAGCTATTCTGTTCCCAATTAATGAAATGACAGCGTCTCATGCAACTGCTGAGTACAGGTGTTGCTTCAAATCGTTCTTGTAAGAAATTCTATTACTTCATTGAAAAAATAAAGAATTTTTTCCTACACTAAAATAAAGTTCAAAGTGTGATTTAGTTTGGTAATCCACCATTGTCATTGTGCCTGTTTATGAAACATCAATTGCTCAAAATTGATGTTGCCTACCTCGGTTAGCTGTTAGACACGATTACTGCTCTAAACACTGCTTGAGTGGCCGTGTAACTGACCAACTGTTTTAACTGCATTCAGCGATAACAGCAATCATGTCAACTATGCTTAAGGTTGCCTGTATAACTGTGGTACAAGTACAAACAAGATGGGCAATTCTGCGGCCGCAGTTGTTGTCGCTTGCATTGGCTTGGTATGCCACAACGCAAATATTCAGATTGTTCCGAAACATTGCCCCACCAACTTCTGGTGCAGGCTGTAAAATTTTGAGCACTGCAGGTGAAAGCCTAGGGTGTGGCCTAGGTGTTTAATAAACCTGTAATGAACAACGGTAGTATCCTCACACACACGATATTAAGCAGAACTTGAACAGTGCCAAAAACAAAATGATGAAAGCAGTAGACAAACTCTCATTTTCACCTGTTGCTTTCTTCAAGTTCAGTAAAGTACCAAACAATGCAGTTCAATATGCTGCTACACGTATTGGGCAGTTTTGGTACAGCACCGCTTTTTCGCATTTCAACAGATTAGTCACCATAATGATAATAACAAGTGTGGTTTATAATGTCACCCTAATACATAAATTCCAAATAATAAATACTTTTCTTTTGGCAGGAATCAAGGGACCCAAGTTATATCACTAGTATGTCACCTTGAAAATCGAGCAATACAGTCGCTGCTGCTGTCCGAGATATTCTGACTGAAACCACATCTTGAAACGCGATTTTCTTTGATAATGAGTTCTTTCTTGCAAGAAAATGTATCTCAATGCTCAATGAACCCATTATTTTGATTTTAGATCTATTCCTTTATTTCCATCTAACATCGTTCCTTCTTCCAAACGACGCTAGTACTACTGAAAAAGGAATGTATGAATATAAAAAGGCTAGTGGTGTTGACAGTCTGGCAGTTCCGTAGCGTTCGTAAAGGCCATGCGACTTATCTATTGAGGCCATAGGTCTTGCATGCGCCATGTCTAATCAGCGAGAGGCCCTTGCCCTTCTCGGAAATGCACAGCGGACCGATGTTTCTAGGAAGCTGGAGAGAAGGTTTCTATGCAAACACGTCTGAGGGCAAACGTAGGAGACCGCTGATAGCTGCCCACCTACGCGCCCTTTACCTGAAAATAACTGCAGACAAAACATGTGAAGCCACAAATAAATGTTGGAGATACGGTGAAAGTAACAGCAAATGATGTGTGATATCTAGATCAACCAGCGTTACAGGCTGCCCACGCTATCTCAAATGGGGACAGTCACAGCATATCAGTCCAGGATCACCAGAGGAGGGACCTCGTAAGGACAACACTTGGGGTACAACCAATATAAACATCTGATATGGCGTCACAGGGCTATATCGATGTCACAATGGATCGCCCTCATATCAAAGTTGTTTTGTGTTTCCAAATTCATTGCATAAGTTCTGCTTCCTAATTTCAGTACACCTGTAGAGCATGCCTGCTGACTCGTTATCTTTAAGCAAGTTTTTCCACTGCAGCACAAACAGGACAATAGACGATGATGTGAAAAACACAGACAGATTTCATTTGTTTTTCTACATTTCTTAGGTCTTTCGTCTCGTTTCAGGCTGGAAAAACGCATTTCACATTTTATGTTCACTAATCTGATGTAGATTTTCCTAACAGATATTTACATTAACAAATGAAGCATGTGCAGATTGCAGCACCATATACTTCAGGAAACCACAAGCAGAAGCGTCCAGACTTGTACACCACTGAAAAGCAAATGAACACTCGGCTGTGCTTAACAGAGAAGGCAATAAATACATAAAAAATACCTCAGATCAGTATGTACAACTAGCACCATTTTTCGCTCAATATGCTTTTGAGATCTATGCCTGAAAAAGTGCTCGTTTTTCCAAAGGTGTTTCAGATACTCCTTTCCCGTTCAAACTGTTGTATGATAATACAAGGAAATAAAAGCCTCACAAATCACCTCGTAGATAACGTACAACATGCAAGATCAACAACCGTAAATGAAGCCTACAAAGTCAAGACATTCAACGCTTAATTGCTCTGCAAAGGCTGCAGTCAGCAAGGCAACGCAGTTTGCGAATGCGTACGTAAGTGGGTTATGCAGAGAAACCGATACACTGCAACGATAGAGATCAAATGCAGCCACATCTTCACGAGACCACCATGAAAACCAGTATCCCACCTCTTACAAAATTGTGCCTTTGAGCGAGTGCAGCAATGCTGTGCAAAGTTATAGACGTATGATAGAAACACTGTCAGACACACGAAGCACATCAGACCGACCTGATTTAGACCAAGATGGCGTCCCACATTGTCAGAGAGGAAGACAATCTCTCCCTCCGCAGACAGCACCAGCAGGACGGCGTCCAGGGCCTCCAGAACAGACGAATCGTAAATACTGCAGGCTGCCGATTTGGCCACTTCTGCGTAATACGGGAACGAGGTGCATTCACAAAGTGCATATTATTGGCATGAACAAAGAAAGACAGAGAAACTAAATTTCAGTGGAGGTTTACTCTTTCTCTACATAATCTTCACCTAAAGTTATGCAATTGTGCTGACAATGTAGTACTGCTGCAGAACACAGCAATACAACTTGTCATTCTTTAGAGTTCAGGAAGAGCTTGTCTTGAGTGACGACTTTTTCGTTGTCGTGAAAATTTCCCATGCAGCGTGCTTTTAAAGCAAGTTAAGAGGAAGACAGGTGCGAGGTCAGATGACTATAGCGGTGAGGCAAAATTGCATAGCCTAAAAAGTTTGGCCACCATCACCTGCGCTAAGTGAGCTGGATTTTCCTGATAAAAGCTAACATGCCGTTTTGATGCCATAGTGGTGCTGGGCAGTAATAAACAACAGAAATTTAATATTATACTAAAGCTGTAGATGCACGACTATTTTGATGCCTATCGCTTATGCCTTTCATAAGTCACTTCCACTGGTAATACAAACTTTATGAAAGTCTCTCGTATGTAGCCGTGCAGTCTTTCTTTGTCACAGGTTACATACCACTGCACATTTATAAAAGTAACCAGGAGAGTTACAGAATGATAAGTATGACAGCATATAAAAGACTGTCCACAGGTTTGCGCAGAAGCTGTGGCAGAAGCCTTATAGGTCTATGAATTCACATAGCTTTGCCACCACTGTTGTTGGTTGGAGAGCGTTGCTTGCGTGGAAGAGGGGGCAATAAATAGGTACTTTGCAAGTATAGTGGCGTTTGGTTCATGTGTGGACACATAATGCTTGCATATTATGACATAACTTCTACATAAGTTTGCTTTTTTTTTTGCGATTGACACTTAGCAGCCATTGAATATCTCTGTTGTTGTACAATGCTGCTGAACTTATCTTTTTCATATGGCAGAAGCCTGCCTGGTTGGGATAAAATCTGAAGGAATGAGAAAACTCTAACCAAAAGTATATTAGGAAAAAAAAAAGCCGGTCCAGCTTCTTCCTCGACCACATCCATCTGGATTATGCAGTGACTGTAGAAAAAGGAAGGAACACTCGCTGGCGACTACTCCTCGGACCTTGTCCTCCCTCTACTGCCATGGTTTCCGACGAGTCACGCGAGCCTTCAAGCACCACAAGCAAGCACATCTCCGACTTCGTCACTCCCGAGGAAGAAGCCGGACTGGCTTCAAAACATCACATTTTCTTAATATAATATTGGTTGAAATTTTCTCATTCCTTTTTTTTATCTTGTTTGGATAACTCTGCAGGGTTCTATTAAAATGCCACATTCCTGTAACTGCCCTCTCATCAGTATGGCAATGCCATGTCAAGAGGTATTCAGTGACTTAAAAGGGCATATCTTGAGCAACTAATCATACAATGCTTCCACAGCAAGAACAGTGACAAGCAAGTGTAGGCAATCAAACATGCATCCCCTCACGGTCGAAAGATACACTAAAGGGCCACACTGTGCTGGAGTCCACTGGCGTTCCTCTTCCCCGCCCACTTTTACTCACATCCATGCCACAATGATAATAACTTCAACTTTATACCTTTTCTAGTATACACTAGGAGAGGCCTTCTAGCCTAGAAGCTGCCATAAAGAGCTTTAGCTCAAGAGCATGTTACAAAGGGCATCGCAGAGCATGTTATGGAGGAGGTTATAGAGCATTTTTAGCTCCAGATGATGTTATCGAGTGCCTTACAGTCAAGATTAGTACCGTAAGCATCATTAGTTCCGAACAAGTGACGAATGGCAAAGACTGACTGTTGCACCTGCACAATTGGTTCGACAAACTTCACGTCGCATTGTTAGCTAATGCAGTAACAGTGCCGAAGCGTTCCAGTCACAAGTGTCGGTTGACTTCCAAGCCGGACCCTTCGGTTCAGCGCTGTTTACTCAAGAATCGAGGCGGTGTGAGATAGGCCGCCACAATCATCTCACGCGGCGCGCCAAAAGTCAACAGTGGGTGGCGCAACGTCTAGTGGCCTGTTCACTCAGTGAAGTGCGAAAGACGACAACAGTTGCGATACGAGTGGCCCGTATCGGCATCACACCTGCCGGAAAAGCAATCAACAGGCTTGACGCACTCCATGGAAGTGATATGCCCCATTCATCAAGCTATGCAACTCCGACACACTGCAGGTTGCCAGCAGAAAAAGAAACTGAGCCAGTTCCAAGACATGAAAACCGTCGGACGGCAAAGCTGTAAGTGCACGAGTGTATGTGGGGTCTGACTAGAACATCCTAGTCTCATTTCGAGTGTCGATCAGTATTATCACCACTTAGCATCATCAGCATCATTTCATTACTACTACTATACCCCTACTTCAGATACTACTACTACTACTACTACTACTACTACTACTACTACTACTACTACTACTACTACTACTAGAGGCATACGTAGAATTTTTTTTTTACTTGAGAAAGGGGGGATATTCCTTGATATTGGGGGAACCTCCTTGACTTCCTTAAAATGGTCATTTTTCGCTCTGTGGGCTATGGCAAAAAAAATTAAGAAGAAGGGAGGGGGGGGGGGGGGCATGACACGGCCCAATGTGCCATCCCCAAGCTAAGTCACGGCTAACTACTACTAACTACTACCATGACAATGGCACAGGCTAGACTAAGCCTGCTTGAATGTAAAACAAACCATTAACCATTCTATTCCTCAGGGGCTCTGTGCTTTTTTGTTAACAGCATGTCAAAAAAAATAATGAAAGCAGAGAAAGCATAAAAAAAACTTTTACAGTTATGTTTAGAATTCAAAATAACAATAGTCATAATAGAAAACAAGGTGAATACGGTCAATGAGACCACTTGCTGTTGAGCCTGCAACACTGTATTACATGCATGCTTCCTTACCAATCAAATTACAGTGGCAACCATGACCTAGTCCACTTCCTTAAGTATTCACATGTACTTGTAACGATTAGCCTTAACAGGTTTAGCTAGCACACATGAATGCCTCTTAACCACGATCTGGAAAGCAGGCGACTGCTACCGAAGTCGAGACCCTCGCTATTAAAATGTTCTCGAAGCCTCCTTCTGCCTGAACAAGCGAATTGTGTGTCAACCGAAAAAGTCTTAGAAAGCAACAAAAAAATAAAGATTATAGATTGCAGACAGCACTATTGCTGTAAATGGGAAACATTGAGCAGCATGGCTGTGGATCTACAATCGCACGAATAGCCAACCTTCGTAATGGAAGCTTCCCTGTTGTCTTTATAACGAGTGGTTTAGCGCTAAAGAAAAAAAAACAATTAGGTACACCGAAAAACAAAAGCTTGCTAGATATATAATGTTAAGAAAGCTATTTCTGGCTTTATCTGGGGACACAACCTCCAAATAAATGTTCCAGCCTGCAGCTGGTAATTCAACCTATTGATTGATATGTGGGAGAGACGCCATAGCGGAGGGCGCTTCGGAAATTTCGACAACTTGGTGTTCTTTAACGTGCACCCATATCGAGCGCACGGGCCTACAACATTTCTGCCTCCATCAGAAATGCAGCCACCACAGCCGGGATTCGATCCCGCGACCTGCGGATCAGCAGCCGAGTACCTTAGTCACTAGACCACCGCAGCGAGGCTAATTCAACCTATAAAGTTGTCAGCAAGATTAGAAGCATTATGCGCTAATAGAACCGAAATTTGCAATAGCCTTGCAGGCATTGCTTTGTAAGCTATTACTGTGGGGTGTAGGCAAACTTACAGCCTAAACGGCCGGTTAATAGAGTCCCAACCAGGGTGGGGCTCTATTTTACACATTGAAGCTAAAAAAAAAAAAACATTTGCAGGACAATTCTCACTTATTGCAAAGGTGATAAGCCATGAAACCCTCAGACAGAAAAATCACATTCCATCAATGTGGCAGATATTCGATAAAGCCACAACAGCCTGAACTACGGCCAATAAGGTGACAACAAATAATGTAGATAATAGGAAGGTCGTCTTTCTTTCTTTTCTGGGAACTGCGGCTGTGGCTGTAAAAATATTTGCCAGCACCATTGTGTCACGGGCTTTCCAGACTGCTAAATCTTCCGACGTTGAAACTTTCCGTCTTCGACCAAAGTTCCAGATAGCAGAAGATAAGCATGAGCACACAGCTAATCTCATCGCGACGCAATGGCTGTCTGGCTTCCAAATAGCTGCCACTACAGAGGCGCAGCAGTCCTTAATCCCTTTATAGGTCACAAAACAAGAAGAGACTACGTGTGTGGCATCTTGCACAGAAGAAGCACATGGAAGCAATTGGATGACGGGCGGGCAGTGTTTGGTGCTATTATGAAACTATGGCTCCTCACATGATACAAGTCTGTCGACAACTGTTGCAGGCCATATTAAAGGAACATTAAAGAGAAAGCAATCTTTTTTTGTACTGGTGAAGTAAAACAGCGCAATCACAAGAGCGCCACTCTAACCACGAGACGGCACTTGGTGAGCAAGCAAACGCGCGAAAAGAAAATGCGGATGGAGACGCCACCTTGAGATTACCACACTAAACACTGTGACGCCATAGATATCGACTGTGTCTACAGGGCACTACATACTTGATAATTGGTAAAAATGAAGTTCACTGTCATTTGTAGGGGCCATAGACTTATCATACAATGTTTCCGAGAATTTCATTGAATCAACGTAGCGAAAATACAACAAAATACATTTTGAAATCAGTGACGTCACATACAAAGATATAGCGGAGGAATTTAAAAATGAAACTTCCACCCAATTTCATCCTCCAGTCGTGAACTTATCATAGTGCAACTTGCAAAATTAGAGTGCTTAGAGTACAATCTATCAATCTATAGTCTATAGCCAGAATTTTTTTTCAGGACGGGAGGGGGGAAGGTCAACCATACTTTGTGTATGTGTGCATATACACATACACAAGTAAAATTAAAACCTTGTGGTGGGGGAGAACTCCCCTTGCTATGCCCCTGATTTAAACCAAGTCACTGTTTCACTTTAGGGGCCCTTTAAGGAAATGCTGCAGTTCTATGTGGACAAACAAGATAGATGTTCAGAGGTAGATAGAGGCTTCGAGTGAAGAGGACAGAAAACGCCAGGGGAGACAATGTTTAAATGAGTGGGCTTATCGAACCATTGGCTATAGCAACATCTGTTCAGCGTTTACTTAAGAAAGGCATCAGTCCAGGTTTACGATGCCTGAGCAGGAAATCTTCTTTGGTCAAATAAGAAACTTTTTTTCCAACCAATCCTGATAAGTTTTCTCGCAACTTCATGCTACGAAAAGAAGCAGATGGCAATTTTTCCACCTTGCAAGCAATGACTTTTTAAGGGAAGCTTCTATAACTCGCAGATTTTGGCATCATGCGCAAGAAACCTTGTGCCAGCGAGCACAAAGACAAGCTGAGGCACCAATGAAATGTCCCTTTTAATTGCTGCCTGTATATGAATGTGTGACCATCATTGCTGCCTGTAGCAACAGAAGTGCTCGGCTGCTGAGCGCATGGATAAAGGTCCGACTTCCCCAAGGATGAAGGAAACAGTAAGGAGAAAGTACTGTGCAATGCAATAGAAAGATGTCAGCACATCAGGCATACATTTGCCAAGCTTAGCTTACCATTGATTTTCCTGACGCGGTAACGTCTCCCGAAATGATTCTCCTAAACTTCCCAATAGCTTCACGAAACAAAAGGGCAAACGACAGTTCTGCCTCTTTGCGAGAAACGATTCTTAGTGATATTCAGCAAACTCGGATACTCCTAGAGTGTGCAAGACGGCGTCACACTTCCACATCTGAGTATCACATATCCAGGGCAACAGAGGCTGCACTTACCGGCGATTGGCTCGAGGATCTCCCGCAGCCGCAGGTAGCTGATGGCCAGGCGCATGACCGATGCCTTGTCCAGTTGGCAGGCCACGCTCTCCGGAAGCGGCAGCTGCTGCGACAGCTCAGTAAAGATCTCGGACTCTTTACTGCGCCGACATCGGGCTGCATCTCGTGATTTCTCTTTACGTTTTTCTGAATTTTTGCTGCAAAGAGAGAAGGAAAGCCTTCATAAGGGAAGCGCATTTTTCGAACGAAATTGGCACAATTAATAACAAGGCCAGTAACACTGTAACTGAAACACTGTAACAAGGCAAAACCACTGTAACTGCTTATTTCACTTGTGACAATAACTTCCTGTGCTTCCATCTGTGGCTCCTTCTAGATAAATCTAGTAGGTAAATCCAGGAGTACTGTGAATCAAACTAAGATGGCAAAACTGCCATAAAAATCAGCCATGGGAGCATTAAGACTTGCCAGAACTGTGAAATCACTTGGCAACGGTGAATGATGGTCAAATTTTATCAGGACAATAATGCACCAATCATTTCAAGCTACTTGCTACTGATGAACCTGCATTCACATAACTACAGCTATTTAAATGGATACTCACAAGACAAAATATGTAACAGAGGTCTGAAGTGGCTAGTGTGGGCCTGATTTGATTGATGATTGATTGATTTGTGGGGTTTAACGCCTCAAAACCATCATATGATTATGAGAGGCGCCGTAGTGGAAGGCTCCGGAAATTTCGACCACCTACGGTTCTTTAACATGCACCCAAATCTGAGCACATGGGCCTACAACATTTCCGCCTCCATCGGAACAGTGTGAGCCTGGCATTACCAAGCATGGTCTTTGGCAATTGAGAGCAGTGCATTGCACAACATGTCCCACAGTTTTCCAGCTGTTACATGAAAAACGCTTGCGAGACTAAGCTTCCACACACAGAGCCAGCTGATAAAAACTTGCTGCAAAGGAAAACCACAGCGGCAGCAGAGGGGGAACGGAAGCCTTGAAAGGGGGAGACCAGATGTGACTTCTACAGCATCTGGGGCGTAAAAGATTCAGTTATCGATGCAACTTCCAATCTCTCCTAACACTGCAGCAAAGTGGAGCGAGCCATTTTTCCTGCCAGCCACACTACGCAGTGCAAAAGGGGGGCACTGCCATGACACCGGCCGACTCCAGTATCTCAAGCACGCTGCTTTAAGCAGACGCAATCCGACAGTGACAAATTGCAGCGGAATGAAGCAATCCACCGGCACACAACGGCGTAGCCCTGTTCTCACGTGTGTACCCGTCATATCTTTTTCTCTCCGAAGGACCTCGAAAAACGTGATGTGAGAACGCTTAGCTAAATGTATCACCTTGTTTCACGCTGATGGTAGAAATGTCTCAGCAAAGTTTCATTTACAGGATATCGCTTGATCAATGGCATGTTTCGCTTCTTTGTGTAGTCGCGTGATGCTGAGCAAAAGAAAAGCCTTTACACCATACATGTTCAGCATAACACATCGGATTCCTCCATCTGCAGATTATTGTTCAGAAGTTTCGTTCGCTCTTTGCCTTATGACCCTAAATTCCTCTAAAATAAACCAAAAAGAAAGAACAACTAAGAACACTTCCAAAAAAACACGCAAGTAGAAGTACCACAGAACCCATACTGAAGATACCGTTGCAATCAAGTTTCCTCAAGGCCTTCGGTGACGCCAGATTACTAAGCTCTTCCAACTGTTAAGGAGGAAACCTTGTAGAGGTTGGGGTTGGAAGGCTCATTTGCTGCAGCTTGCCACTTTCTGTCATTATGACATCCTCCCACGAAAGAGAACCCTTTCTCCGTGACTCAAAAGCCACATGCTGCGGCCTGAGCGAAAGAAGCGACAAGAGTCACACCACCGCAGAAATTACAAACCGCGATTAAGGCCTGCCCTGTGCCATCCGGAGGGCTCGCAGAACCAGGTTGCGGCAGATCTGGCCGTCCGGGTTCATTAGAAACCAGACTCTGGGAGCCACCAGAAACCCTGCACAAGCCCACTTCCTCACCGCAACCCCTTCCTTTTCATTTCTTTTTTCCTTTAATCTCTCCTTGGCTTGTCACACACATTAAGATCTCTGAGCACGTGTGTCGTCGTGTCCTTGTTTCTTTCTTCGTTACATCTTTTCTTACAGCCGCGAACTTAATCAGCGATTCAAGAATGAACTGGCCAGGAAACAAGAAAGATACAGTCGACTCTGGCAGCCCCAGACAACTGGCTGCGAGACTGGAGTGGGAATGCGAGGGACATCCCTCTGCAGTAGGGGGGAGGGGAGTTGCGTCGAAAACAGAAAACAGGTTCGGCGAGTCCGTCTCCTCCCCCCCTCTGCTTTAAGAGTGGGGGTACACGTGCAGGGGGAGGGGCCCAATTAAATCTCACCCTCTCCACCAAAAGGGACTCGAAAGAAGTCTCAGCAGGGCCCCCACTCACCTCTCCAGGGCAAGCCCCGTGGCAAAGGTAATCACTCCAAATACAAGGGCAACTGACTTCACAACTGAAAGCCCAGGCTGGTAAATGAAGGCGACGGTGATTGTGTTTTGTTGTCTGGTGCAGCAAGAGGAAAAAACTGCGGTAATTGCTCTGCCTTGTCACTGCTGCTGCTAGAGACACATATCAAATTGCTGTACAAGAAGGCTTAAGCAACAAAAAGAATGCAAACAATGCATATGATACAGGAATGTTCTACAGCAATAATTTTTTTATACTCTATCAAGAATTCACTGCTGAGTAAAGGGTCAAGAAGGTTATATTGCTTCAGGATTTAAAAACTGTAAATCACAGTAACTTTGTTTGCTTTCGAGACGAAATTGACGGCACTAAATCGTTAGTTAGTTAGTTTAGTTATGTTGGGTTTAGTGGCGCAAAAGCAACTAAGGCTATGCTGCGCCAGCCACATGGTGAAAAAAAGGAGAGAAAAAAGAGCAAAAGAAAACGTCACTAGTTAGCTCGGCATACATTGTGCTGTGAAAGTCTGATTGAAAAGCTATTTTCTCTGAGGGAGTAAATCCGTCAGTCAGGGGAAATTGTGCTTCGTCGTCCAGGTGATTTTTCCTTTACAATGGTCATGACTATGAATGCGCGGTTGACGATGACTAATGGAATAAAATGAATAATGTTGTGCGGCTGTATAGAGACCTAAAACCAATCGCGTAATGTGTATACTTTTAAAATTATGGACATGGTACATGGCGTGGTCAATGGGTATGGTATGTGCGTGAGGTGATTTTGTCAAAAAATGTGAGGGGATCGCTCCAGCACTCCCGCCTCACCTGTGTCCTTGTGCGCAAGGACCAGGAGGTAAGTGCTGTGTTCAAAAGAAGCTGTCACAGCACTGACCTCTCGCAAGAGGCCGTGCTGTGGCCACACAGGTTCGTGAATCTTGCAGATCTGTACCGTACAAATACGATGGCGTGCTTCTTATAACTTATTTAGAAATTTGGTGTCATCCAGGAAGTTGACAACGTCAGTTACGGGTATCAGCGCGTCATCTCCTAGAAGGAACATGGGGTGACGTGGAATGCGTAACTTGTACAAGGTGTAAAAATGTTTTCTTCGATGTGCTTCCAAATGTGCGCATGTAAGCAAGATGTGCAACACTGTTAGAGGTTCATCGCATTTATCACATGTTGGCTGTTTTTCTTGTTTTAACAAGTAATTATGAGTGATGTGCGTGTGACCAATTCGAAGACGGCACAGGATTACTTCGATAAAACGTTCTTGGTGGTAACATGACTTCCATTCATTTAGGAATGGCTTGATTAGTTGAAGTTTGTTGTTGCCTGTCATATTCCATTCCCGTTGCCATTTAGATGTTAGCGCTGTACGGATTGCGCGGATACTATCCCTAACGGGAACATTTACTTGCGAGATACTTAAGTTCTTTGCTGCTGCTGCGCACTGATCTGCCCTTTCATTTCCGGGTATCCCGACGTGACTTGGGACCCAGCAGAACCGGATATTTTGTCCTTCACTTAGACGCGATAATACGCTTAAAATGTCGCCGATGAAGGGTTCGTATTGAGAGCGTATATGGAGGGCCTTCAATGCACTCAAGGAATCCGTAAAAAGTATTGCTTTCTTGTATCTAGCACTTTCAATTCTTTTTACTGCCATCCACAAGGCATAACATTCAGCAGTAAAAACTGAAACAAACCGTGGTAATCTGACTGTTTCTTCCCACGCACCTTGTACGACACTGCTACTGACATAACTAGCCGTTTTGGAGCCATCAGTGTAAAATTCTTTGTATGTGCTGTACCTTTCTTGAACGATGCGAAATTCTTGCAATATGTGTTCACGTGGTGTACCTTGTTTTTTGAGATGTGTCAATGAGAGGTCAAGAAATTGCGTAAAGTTTTTCCAGGGAGGCAGCCTTCTTGGCCTTTTAGTAACAGAAAGGGCATCTGTAGGGACGTTACACTCGCGACATTTTTCTTCGAATCTGAGTATAAGTGGCCTTATTGCGTTTGGTTTGTTTGTGTAATGGAGTCGTTTGTCACAGTGTGTGATAATGTTGTAGCATATATGGTTTGGCGATGAGCGAACTCTTAGGACATATGTAAGCATTAGCTGCGTTCGTCTGCTGTCCAGTGCCGGTTCGTTACTCTCGGAGTACAAGCTGGGAAGCGGCGAGGTCCGGTATGCACCGGTTGCCAAGCGTATCCCTTTGTTATGTACGGGGTCGAGTCTCTTGAGGTAGGATTGTCTCGCTGAACCGTAAACTACACTTCCATAATCTAATTTGCTACGCACCAATGAACGATATATGTGCAGAAGGCACTTACGGTCAGCGCCCCACCGCTTCCGCGACAGAACTTTGAGGACATTGAGTGCCCTAGTCGCTTTAATTTTTAGACTGGTAATGTGTGATAGAAAGTTAAGTTTCTTGTCAAATATGACTCCTAGAAACTTGTGCTCTTGTTTAACTGGTAGGACTGTTGCATTCAGTTCAAGAATTGGGTCCGGCTGCAAGCCTCTTTTCTGAGAATACACTACGGCAACTGTCTTTTCCCCGGAGAAACAGAAGCCGTTTTTCTCCGCCCATTGTGTTAGTTTGTTCAACGTGATTTGAGTCTGTCGTTGACATGTCACCATGTTAGACGCGCGGCACGCAATCTGAAGGTCATCAACGTACAGAGAATGCATCAGTGTGGATGGTATAACTTTGT